CGGAATAACACATGTGTGAACGATTGTTTTCTCCCCTGCCGACAACATCACAGAAAACACTTCAAACACACTGGAGAAAAAGCTAATTTGGTACAGGAAAACACCCTCACAACATTGTTGGTCGGCATAGCAATAAAAAATCAAATTTTGTTTCCGGCCTTGGGCAACACTTGATCTTCTCAAAAATATTTTAAAGGTATGGGCAAGGTGTGCAACTTTTGTCAGGGAATATTATGGAATATCCATATCTGAAACATATTTAACACAGACTAATATAGAGCTGTGCAAGTTATACCAGAAAGATTGTTGTGACTTTCAACACCAGTCAACCTGAAGCTTTTACTGTGACACAGTGTTTTCAGAGACTCATGTGTGTGCATTTATCAAGGAAAGTATCTGCTTGTAAAACATCTTTGCTACTACATGTAATACACCATTTGAAAGGTTTAATCCTACTGTTTATACATATGAAAGTGAAGTTCATCACATTATTTAAAGAATGCATTTTCAACTTAAGTTCGTTTTAAATAAAAGTAATGTAAGCTAACAAATTCATTACGTCCAGATTAAGCACCAAGGAATTGAAAATTTGATGATTATGATGATGTCCGGCTATTGTTCTTGCATGGCCTAATGCAGAATTATGGAGAACATATTTATCATCTGTAACATGGTGTTGGGTTAGAGCATCAACCGAATCTGATTCTCATGATTTTTCCATTACATAAACACTCTCACTTAAATCCTTTAATTTGCAACCAAGAAACAGATTCTCGCAACCTCAAGTTCAGTGGGAGTGGGAGAGAAGCAAGAGATGGTATTAGATATTTACCAAACTGGTGAAACCCACAAGCATATTTAATATCCTGACATACATCGAATCAAAAGCCAAGTCTCAGATGAGAATCCATATTAAAAGCCTGTGTCATGGCTACTGGATCTGTCCAGCGAGTTGTGGTGTCTTGAATGGCTGTCTGTCCCTCCCCCACTCCATCCTGAAGAATCCTAATTGGTTAATCAATGTTGCCAGACCTTTGACAATAAAGAGGAGGCCTTAACAATGTGTAGCAGGGCATGGAGACATCCCACAGATGACATCTGTACCTTGTCAACTTGTTGATGGGGTTAAACTCTTTGGTCATGTGGACAAGGCGTCCAACTTCGGATCTGACAGTCTGTGGTTCAGATCCCATTGCGAGAATCAGAAATTTTATGGCCTCTATACTGGCGCCAAACGTGGGGTTAGTCGCCTTTTACGACAAGCATAGTCAACATTTACGGCAAGTATGGGTTGCTGAAGACCTATTCTACCCCGGATCTTCACAGGTCGGCAAGCATGGGTTGCTGAAGACCTATTCTACCCCGGATCTTCACGGGTCAGCAAGCATGGGTTGATGAAGACCTATTCTACCCCTGATCTTCACGGGTCGGCAAGCATGGGTTGATGAAGACCTATTCTACTCCTGATAAAGCATGGCAGGAATCAACCCACAGATGACATCCATATATACCTTCTCAGCTTCCTGACAGGTTTGAACACTTTGGTCCTGTGTACAAGGTGCCCGACCTCAGGTCCATGGTTTGAATCCCATGAAGGGAATCAGAAATTATACGGCCACTACAATTGCATGACCTTTCCAAACCAGCATCAAAATAATCAATTACATGTTTCCAAACCTAATAGCTACCTGCAGCAGACTCTCCATGTAATGACTTGCATGTTTCTTCCCACGGTGGTAAATAATCACACCTGTTCACTCCTCTCTACATTACACTGTGATTACTTTCTCATTTGACAGAATGTATGATTAATAACATTATTATTCAAGGAGGCTGTCTGCTCCGGTGAGAGCGAACTTTGCCACAATAATTGGATCGATAATTCCATAACAATACAACATTAAATCTCGTACAGAGGGGTGTAATGCAACACTCAAGTATGTCAATATTCTCCTCAATGTCACATGTGCCTCAAGGTCACACAATAAACATTATTCACGTGTATAACAAGAGTAGTGAGTGAGTGAGTGAGTTTGGTTTAACGCCGCTTTTAACAGTATTCCAGTTATATCACGGCATGTCAGCTTAATGTGGGAGGAAAGCCCGAAGTGATGCAGGTCTCAGACGTTTACCACTTCGGTGAAACCCACGAGCACGGGTATGGTGCTGACAAACCTAGAAACATAATCGGGGCGAACCGGGATTCGAACCCACAATCATAGGTTTCTGGCGTGTCCAAGGGACGCAACTCTGCACAACGAATCGTGGTGCCTTAGACGACTGGGCCACCCGTGCCCCCTAAAATGAACAGAAATCTAGAGAACATCAACCATTTGAATTATTGATTGTAAATTATTCACATCAATAATTGCAAAGTTAAATTTTTCTGATGCATATCATACTAGAATTTGACGCCCACACCAACAGGAACTGAGCTAAAAACAATATGTCTCGCCTCCCTTTATCCCTATCAATACCTCGCTAATAACCTTCATTAAAAGGCTTTTATTCGAAACTGAATCAATCAATGAAACTTATCAGCTTTTACCATGACGTCACATGGAGGCTGTCAACCAGAGTACCGCTGGCAAACACAGACTGTCTCAACACTAATCCCCCAATTGAATTAATAATGAATATCCCTCTCTGTGGTGTGGAGTCTTGTGTTTGTGTCAAATGACCATCACATCTAATAGTCATCCCTAGTCATATATCAGATCTTTAGTTGCTTTCCAAATGTTTATGATGACCCCCTTGTTAGAAATCCTCATATTTGATTGGCCAAAAGGTGCTAAATCTATTTTACATCAATATAAGAGCTTTTGCATCTGACGTGTTTACCATAATGGGCAATAAAACATGTTTGTCCTTATTAGCAATACAACAATGTTAACCTTATTGGAAATACAACATGTTGGCCTCATTGGCAATACAACATGTTGGCCTCATTGGCAATACAACATGTTGAACTCATTGGCAATACAACATGTTGGTCTCATTGGCAATACAACATGTTGGTCTCATTGGCAATACAAAATGTTGACCTCATTGGCAATACAACATGTTGGCCTCATTAGCAATACAACAAGTTGGCCTCATTTGCAATGCAACATGTTGACCTCATTGGCAATACAACCTGTTGGCCTCATTGGCAATACAACACGTTCACCTCATTGGCAATACAACATGTTGGCCTCATTAGAAAAACAACATGTTGGCCTCAATGGCAATACAACATGTTGGCCTCATTGGCAATAAAACAAGTTGGCCTCATTGGCAATACAACAAACTGGCCTCATTGGCAATACAACAAGTTGGCCTCATTGGCAATACAACATGTTGGCCTCATTGGCAATACAACAAGTTGGCCTCATTGGCAATACAACATGTTGGCCTCATTGGCAATACAACAAGTTGGCCTCATTGGCAATACAACATGTTGTCCTTATTAGCAATACAACAAGTTGGCCTCATTGGCAATACAACAAGTTGGCCTCATTTGCAATACAACAAGTTGGCCTCATTGGCAATACAACAAGTTGGCCTCAATGGCAATACAACATCTTGGCCTCATTGGCCATACAACATGTTGACCTCATTGGCAATACAACATGTTGGCCTCATTGGCAATACAACATGTTGGCCTCATTGGCAATACAACATGTTGGCCTCATTAGCAATACAACAAGTTGGCCTCATTTGCAATGCAACATGTTGACCTCATTGGCAATACAACCTGTTGGCCTCATTGGCAATACAACAGGTTCACCTCATTGGCAATACAACATGTTGGCCTCATTAGAAAAACAACATGTTGGCCTCAATGGCAATACAACATGTTGGCCTCATTAGCCATACAACATGTTGGCCTCATTGGCAATACAACATGTTGGCCTCATTGGCAATACAACAAGTTGACCTCATTGGCAATACAACATGTTGGCCTCATTAGCAATACAACAAGTTGGCCTCATTGGCAATGCAACATGTTGACCTCATTGGCAATACAACCCGTTGGCCTCATTTGCAATACAACATGTTGGCCTCATTCGCAATACAACATGTTGGCCTCATTGGCAATACAACATGTTGGACTCATTGGCAATACAACATGTTAGCCTCATTTGCAATACAACATGTTGGCCTCATTGGCATTACAACACGTTGGCCTCAGTTGCAATACAACATGTTGGCCTCATTGGCAATACAACCTGTTGGCCTCATTTGCAATACAACATGTTGGCCTCATTGGGAATACAACATGTTGGCCTCATTGGCAATACAACTTGTTGGTGTCATTGGCAATACAACATGTTTGCCATCATTGGCAATACAACATGTTGACCTCATTGGAAAATACAACCTATTGACCTCATTGGCAATACAACAAGTTGGCCTCAATGGCAATACAACACGTTGACCTCATTGGCAATACAACATGTTGGCCTCATTGGCAATACAACATGTTTGCCATCATTGGTAATACAACATGTTGACCTCATTGGCAATACAACATGTTGACCTCATTGGCAATACAACCAATTGACCTCATTGGCAATACAAGTTGGCCTCATTTGCAATACAACAAGTTGACCTCATTGGCAATACAACATGTTGGCCTCATTAGCAATATAACATGTTGGCCTCATTGGCAATACAACATGTTGGCCTCATTGGCAATCCAACACATTGGCCTCATTGGCAATACAACATGTTGGCCTCATTGGCAATACAACATGTTGGCCTCATTGGCAATACATTTTTGCTTCCCCTCATGGGAAACTTGCCATGCTTGTCATGATCCACCTGCCGATGGTTGTTGTCCCAGGCAACCCTGCCATGTTGGCCCTCGTTGTCTCCTTTCTGCTTTTGCATGTAGCTGGCTAAGGAATTAAGAAAGTGCTAAAAAGGTAAAATGTTTTCACATATATTTTTCCCTTACAGAAGTGTTTTCACATGTATCACAAGTCACAGGATCACATGGATAAGTCGACACTCACCTCAGCTGCCATGATGTCGGCGATGTTGGGAAGGTAGAGGTTGGCTGTGAGCAGTGCAAGTGCAGTTGAGGGCCGATGTCGGTCGGGGCTGCAGATCACGTACTCTGGGAGGTTTGCTGTGTTTTCATGGTCGGTGTGGTCTGAACCTGGTATCCAGTCTCGTGGAGTGATCTTCAACTTGTGCAACCTCTGGAGACAAAGGTTAAATTACTCAAAACCACAAAATGATTTATATTTCAGTTGGGCTTTGCTTATGACTTAAAACATTATCTGAATATGTTGGTTGGTTGGTTGGTTTTGTTGTTTAACGCCACACTCAGCAATATTCCAGCTATATGACGGCTGTCTGTAAATAATCGAGTCTGGACCAGACAATCCAGTGATTGATATCATGAGCATCGATCCACCAAATTGGGATCGATGACATGCATCAACCAAGTCAGCGAGCCTGACCACCCGATCCCGTTAGTCGCCTTTTACGACAAGCATAGTCACCTTTTACGGCAAGCATGGGTTGCCGAAGACCTATTCTACCCCGGAATCTTCACTGGTCATCTGAAGATGTATATTTGGCCCCTAAATGATTTAAATAATGTAGATGTAATTTTTAATTCATGATCTGGTCACCACAACTGTATGACTTTTATCAATGTTAGAGTGTGATAAATAAAAACAACTAAATTAATTCCATAATCATATGCTAAAAGCAGAGTCCATTGAACAATTCCGACTCTATCATAGGCATGTGTTTATGAATCACTATCAAATAGTGATGATACCAGGCACAGCATGAGACAATGTCTGGTGTCCTTTATATAGACTTCAGAATTGTTATGTGGCAGTATATATTATAAGTTTATTTCTTATGATTATTGTAGCTGTAGACTGATGTGCTTGTCAACTATCAAGCCTTTGTTGCTGTGGTTAGGTCTTTTTTACTTAGCAGCCCACAGCATCTTGTTAGTTATAGAGTGACCTCCCTTAGCTGTGCACTCTCCAAACTCCACCCAAGCGCTTGACACCTTCTTTACCCTCCCAGTACATTGAGCTCTGCTGTGATTAGCTGGTTTACGGTTATCAATCTCTGGGGGATTACAACTTGTTCAAGACGCTTCAATATAGCAGTTTCTAGAAGGCTGTCTGTACCTATATAGGAGGATTCAAGGCTTCTTTCTTCGACCTGATTTGAGATTTATCTACTGGCCAAGGGCAGAGGGATGCCTATCTGAAAACAGTGACTTTTCTGTCTGCTTGCAACAATGTTTCCTAGATTCAAGAACGACCATGTTCGGGATTAACCTTCGCGTTTCAACTTGGGAATTAACACGTGACACCTGTATACACGACACTCCTCCATGGTGAAGTGAAATGGGGTTTAACATTGCGTCCAAGATTATTGCACTTATATAGCGACGTGCATGTACATGCGTGTGTGTTTGTGTGGCTGCTTGTACTAGTCCGGACTGATGCCGATTTATAATGCTAGCTCACTGAGATACCATGCCGCAGTTTAACATGAATACCCCACTCACACACAGTATACTGACTCTGAGTCGACCAGTCCTTGTTTTAGCCCCTTAATGCCGAGCGCCAGGCAGGGTAACAACAAGTACCATCTTTTAACGTCTTTTGGTATGACGCAGTCGGGGATCGAACCCTGGACCTTCTGCTCTCCAGGCGGACGTTTTACCACTAGACCATGGAGTCGGTCTCCTCAATGATGAAGGAACATATAGTGAATACAAGACTCTAATGTACTGATAATGGTATCAGTGAAAGAGGAGTGTCCTCCCTTGTCTTTCTGTCTGCAACTAGCCATACATATCTCTATTCTCACCCTTGATGTTTTGTTTCTACATGGGCCCCTGTGGGAACACAGAGATATTTCAGTATTGCTGTTCCCCTTCAGAAGCACTGCCTACAGTACATATATCGATACACTGGACCTTGACTCCACACAAATAGAACAGAACCTTTTGGTTATGTGCACATGAACTTTAATGAAGATACTTGAAACCATGTGTCTATCTCTACAACTTGCTGATGTAATTAATATTATCATAATATCTACAGGCTTATTTCTCATATTTGAAATCTTTCATTAATATATATATTTTTTGGTAAATTAGATCTTATTTCCAATTCTATATGTTAAGAGTGATCTTGTTTTCTTTGAAGGGAAATTTTTAATAACAATTTCACATTTTTGAAACTACAAACATAGCTCTTAGGTCTAGAATGATTAGGCAAATCTAGATAGCCTCAGCCTGAAAGTAGATATTGTTAAGAGCTCCATTTGGATTATAATTCCCTTTTTTTCCAGATTATATAATGACTGCACTACTTGAACTGTACTGTATGGGAGTGTCAAATGACATAATGTCATTTGAGCCAGCTAATCTATCTCTGAAATGACGAAACAAACAAAAATAGACTAAATGTCAAATCGTCAAAGATAGGGTGTTTCATCAAACAAACGGGGAAATAAGGTTATGACACATTCGCAAAGCTGAGTGACTTTTTAATATTGTAACATGACAGACATTTTGTTGCTTGATGTCCTAGCACTGTATGGCTGTATCCATGAAATGTCACAGAGTTTGAAATTTACAGAATTGGATAATGAACACATCCAGTCAAGTCTCGTTGATCCGACACTCGTTAATCATTTTGAATAAGTCATACAGTCCGTAACAGTTGTTTTGTGTTAAGCCTTAGAGGTTGCATGATTAAAAAATATATTCCGCTAACAATGTAACATAACAATATGAATATTTCATTTTTCATTCCGTGTTTGTATTGTAATCTATCGTGCAGTTGTCTGATTTTCGATCACGAACGTTGATACAACATGTACTTTATTTCATTATCTGTCATACTCGTTAATCCGACATTATCATATGCAACCAACCATGTGAGATTAACGGGACTTGACTGTATTAATCAATATGCACAAAAACTGGCATGCTATCACTTAGAAAGTTTTATGTTTACTTACAGATCGACATTCTGTCCATATCTGGCTGACATATTTGAAAAAATTAAATACCAATAATGATACTTTTATGCAGAACTGTCAAGATAGTGAGTATTTTCCTAATATCCCTCTACTGTAATATGTGGATTTGATGTGGGGTGTGCCTGAGATTTTAAAGAAAATAAAAATTGTCCCTGTAAATTCTTGAATAAAATAATTATGCTTTATATTGTTGCCACAAAAAAAATACATTGTTGCAATGTTTTTGAGAAAAATATATTTTGACTCACAGCTTTTAATTAAAAAAATATCTGGTTTTGAAGTTGTAGCTGTAAAAATATCTGGTCTGAATACAAATACCAGATCTGACTGACTGGAGTCCTACTGGTCCCAAACCTCCTGGGGTCTATCACCAGGACAGGAAGTACATCGGGTCTGACTGACTGGAGTCCTACTGGTCCCAAACCCCTGGGGTCTATCACCAGGACAGGAAGTACATCGGATCTGACTGACTGGAGCCCTACTGGTCCCAAGCCCCCTGGGGTCTATCACCAGGACAGGAAGTACATCAGATCTGACTGACTGGAGCCCTACTGGTCCCAAACCCCTGGGGTCTATCACCAGGACAGGAAGTACATCGGGTCTGACTGACTGGAGTCCTACTGGTCCCGAAACCTCCTGGGGTCTATCACCAGGACAGGAACTACGTACAGATCTGACTGTCTGGAGTCCTACTGGTCCCAAACCCCTGGGGTCTATCACCAGGACAGGAAGTACATAGGATCTGACTGACTGGAGTCCTACTGGTCCCAAACCCCTGGGGTCTATCACCAGGACAGGAAGTACATCAGATCTGACTGACTGGAGTCCTACTGGTCCCAAACCCCTGGGGTCTATCACCAGGACAGGAAGTACATAGGATCTGACTGACTGGAGCCCTACTGATCCCAAAATCCATAGGGGTCTATCATCAGAACAGGAAGTACGTACAGATCTGACTGACTGGAGCCCTACTGATCCCTTAACCCCCTGGGGTCTATCACCAGGACAGTAGAACATACAAATCTACAACAAATAATGACTACCAACCTTCATCAATGTGCACCCATCCCATCCTGACAGTCTCCATATATGTGTAGCAAGAAAAGCAGACACTTCCCAGCAACACCCCACCTGACCCTCACACAGAACCCCCCATCGCACTCCGCCCCACCCAACCCCACCTATTCCATCACCTGTCTGATCCTCATGAGACTTCAGGACTTACACGTAATGATGTGTGAATCAAGAGAAAGCCACTTCACACCCACAGCTGTTCATATGATAGTTCTGGGAATACAACAAATGTAGTTCTAGCTCACTTTAATACCTAGACATTACAGACTTTAACCATATTAGTTTCACCCCAAACTACACTTTTTACCCTATTTTGTTATTATAAACATGTGTATGTGCAACATTTTCCTGAATGGTTGGAATTATGCCTGCTTGTTTATTCATAGATCCCGGAAAAAAATAAGAGTTGAATCCAGGCTTTGTCCTTGATTGGTAAACACTAATCCATGCACCTCAAATTAACATAGTCAAGGATTTGACAAAAAAGCGGCATCATAAGGTTCTGTAGCTCACCTTTCTTCTAAACGAAACATGACATGGGTAAACAACTGCAAACATGAATAACACAAGTTTGTATGCAGAAAACATCAATACGATTTCATAATGAAAAAACATAGGAGGGTCAAAAACATAACAAAGCCAAAATGTGCTTAATTTGTTAGTTTGCATACCACACATAGTTACGGCACGTTAAATTTCATGAGTTAGTGAGTTGGGTTTAACACTGTTTTGAGTGAGTGAGTATGGTTTTACGCCGCTTTTAGCAATATTCCAGCAATATCACGGCGGGGGAAATGGGCTTCACACATTGTACCCATGTCAGGAATCGGACCTGGGTCTTCGGCGTGACGAGCGAGCGCTTTAACCACTAGGCTACCCGACCGCCCCAACACTGCTTTGAACAGAATTCAGCTGTCAGTGTCAGGTAAATGTGGGGGGAAAGCCTAAAGTGATACAGGTCACAGATGTTTACCACTTTGGTGGAATCCAAGAGCAGATGAATGGGCTAACCAAGATCTTTGATCAGGTGAATCAATTTGAACCCATGACAGTAGATCCTGGCATAGATAAGGGACACAACTCTACACACTACTTT